TACACAAATGGAAAGAAGAGAAAAAATCCAGGAGGCCAATGGAACCCACACTAGGTCTCTAGGGGGCTAGCCAACCCCATTTCTGACAACCTCCCACCCTGCCCCAGGCCAGATGGCAGAGCCAGGTCTTCAAATCTCTCTGAAAGGCCGGGAGTGAGGGGGCCTGTCTCCCCTCCAGGGGCAAGATGTTCCAAAGGTTGGGGGCTACAGCAGAGAAGACCCACCTTCTGGAGCCCGGTAGTTGGAGTTCTTTTGCCGAGGGGGTCCGGAGCAGGCCCTCTCTGTGAGATCGGGTGGGATGGGTTGAAATCGTGGGAGCGAGGCGGTCCCTCAGGTAGCCTGGCCCCATGCCACATAGGGCTTTAAAGGTGATAACCAACACCTTGAATTGGACCCAGAAGCAAACTGGTACCCAATGCAGCTCACGGAGCAAAGGTGTTATATGGGTCCTTCTTCAGACCCCAAAAATAGCTCACGCGGCTGCATTCTAGACCAGCTGAAGCTTCCTGATACTCTTCAAGGGTAGCCCCATGTACAGTGGGGCAAAAAAGTATTTAGTCAGCCACCAATTGTGCAAGTTCTCCCACTTAAAAAGATGAGAGAGGCCTGTAATTTTCATCATAGGTATACCTCAACTATGAGAGACAAAATGGGGGGAAAAATCCAGAAAATCACATTGTCTGATTTTTAAAGAATTTATTTGCAAATCATGGTGGAAAATAAGTATTTGGTCAATATCAAAAGTTCATCTCAAAAAATACCAGCAACAGTGTGTGAAAACCTTGTGAAGACTTACAGAAAACGTTTGACCTCTGTCATTGCCAACAAAGGATATATAACAAAGTATTGAGATGAACTTTTGATATTGACCAAATACTTATTTTCCACCATGATTTGCAAATAAATTCTTTAAAAATCAGACAATGTGATTTTCTGGATTTTTCCCCCCATTTTGTCTCTCATAGTTGAGGTATACCTATGATGAAAATTACAGGCCTCTCTCATCTTTTTAAGTGGGAGAACTTGAAAACCTTTGGAGGGAGTTGAAAGTCTGTGTTGCCCAGCGACAGCCCCAAAACATCACTGCTCTAGAGGAGATCTGCATGGAGGAATGGGCCAAAATACCAGCAACAGTGTGTGAAAACCTTGTGAAGACTTACAGAAAACGTTTGACCTCTGTCATTGCCAACAAAGGATATATAACAAAGTATTGAGATGAACTTTTGATATTGACCAAATACTTATTTTCCACCATGATTTGCAAATAAATTCTTTAAAAATCAGACAATGTGATTTTCTGGATTTTTCCCCCCATTTTGTCTCTCATAGTTGAGGTATACCTATGATGAAAATTACAGGCCTCTCTCATCTTTTTAAGTGGGAGAACTTGCACAATTGGTGGCTGACTAAATACTTTTTTGCCCCACTGTACTTTTGTGCAGGGTATTTGTACATCTAAAAGCATTACTACTGTAAATGTCTGAATATACAATTAAATACCACATTAGCCCTTCCACCATTTACAGTTTGCATGGATTCCAGAAGCTCCTTGCAATCTTAACATGCTCTATTTCTAGCCTGTGCCATGCCCTTCTTTATATGGGGATTCCTTTAGCTGATTTTGGTTGATCCCTAAAATATGAAGGAAGGTTGGGACTGGATGGTACTTGGACAAGAGAGTATCAGAAATCTCAGGATTGTAGACCAGACTAGAATGTTGAAAAAATATCCCGGAAGTACTTCTGTACTATTATCAAGGAAATGACATAAATGTGTCCAAGAGGTCAGGCTCAATTGAAGGAGACTTCATTTTTACTTCTTTGACTTTTACTTCTTTGACTTTTACTTCTTTTGTGCTGGATGGCACAAAAAAGCCTCTAGAGTAGAAAAATCCATTTCATACTTACCTTTACCAGCACATTTTTGGCAAAATATGTGTCCGCAGCTAGTGACGCAAAAGTCAGATTTCTCTTGGCTGAAGCATTGATTGCAATGAAACCAATCCATGTTGCAAGGCAGAAAGGCAAGGCAGACTTTTCTCAGCTTCTGTTGTGAATAAGAATATGTCATATTGTTTTCTAGAAAGAACTGTAAGTGTTGGATGGATGGAAAAGTAGAGTGGAAAGGTGATATAAATAAAAAATAAGCAAATAAACTATAAATATGGAGGGGGAGAGAAGCAGAGGGAAAAACAGGCATTAAAAAAAGGCTGGATGGGCATGTTGGACTGGAAACAATTTAAGGTGGAACATTCTTCCATTATGAGGGACTGGTGGAGAGGATATAAGCAATGGAAAGATACATTTGTATCAAAGATTGTGTTAGCATTAGTAAATTGATTAAATTTTGACTGTGTTAGTGTCTTTTATGGAAAGTAGAATAAAAATATTTTAATTAACTAAATGCCTACATACCCTTCCTTTAAAAGAAAGAACATGAAACAGAAGAAGACAGAAAGGGTAGTGCATCAATATCATCATTATTATATCAGTATTACAGTCTGGCCTTACATGAGTTGAAAAAGGATGATTGCAATTTCACCAAGCCAATAGATCCAGCTACTTTCCCACTGCACACTCACTATTTATGAATATAAAGATCCATTGATTTCAATGATGCAACAAATAAAACATTCTATGAGAATGATGTGAACTTCAGAGAAGTGAAAAGGACAAAGGAAATGAGAAAAAAATTCTAAGTATGAAGGGGTACAAACTTGCTCCATTTCTAACCATGGTCAGTGTGTGTGCCCATCATAGTAGGGAAGGAGAGAATGGAGGTACAGATCCTGGGATGAATTGCCATGCACCAAGTAAATCAAAGCCACGGCATCATATTAATGTTTCATAACACCACCATGCCCTACAGCAGGACGCATCACTTCTGTCTTCTTCCCCAACCCAGTGTCCTCTAGTGGTGTTGGATTTTTCCCAATTTATTATTTTTCTTCTTCCTTTACTGCTATTTCTGACTGGAGGTTGATGACCATCAATGATCTTCGTTCTTTTGACATTACTGTGTGAAACAAGGACATTGTATTTTTGCCAAACCAGGTACTTTTTTTTTTTTTAATTTGCTTGCTAATCTCTGAATCTAATCCTTTGGCCTTGTTGGCTAGGGATTAGGGGAACTGAAATCCAATTTATCAGGAAGTCACCAGATTGGGAAAAACTGTCGTCTTTAAGCCTGGTTGCCAACTGCCATGAAGCAATACAATTTAAGAATTCTAAGAATTTGTCAGGGGTTCTCTGGGGTCCAAACCTCAGAGCCAGGTATTTGCACTAGGGCACGCTGAATCCAGGGCTTGTGCTGCTCAGTGCAAGGACACGGATGCGAGATATGGCAAGGGGATGGGGGAGTTGAAGTCCATTAATATAAAAACCATGAAAACTGCTGCTTGAATCTTTCTTCAGTATCACAACATTTCTGCTATTGTTAAAACTATGATAATTATAATCTAATCAATGGGAATAGATACCACTTATATGTGATTTAATCATGGATCAGGGCAGTAGGCCAAGGATGTTTTTTTCCATATTGAGGCTCCAGGATGACTTTCACGTTTCGACTCAAATGTGATTTGAGGGCAGAAGCAGCATGAAAATAATGAGGATTTATATGGGATTCCCTTTATAAGACTGTTGGATTTATGCTTTCAGTAGTGGGGATGAGCGTCCATTTGAGAATGGGTTTGCTCAGGGCAAGACATTACCAGGAGGATCTTTATAGATCCAACACTATACTATTGAGGAGGAAACTCTTCCAAAGAGCATTTGAATAGTTATGCCATCTTCAAGTTCTTTTTCTTTGAATTATGTTGATTTAATTGTTGATATTATTTTGTTTGCTTTTGGTGTGATTTTTTTTCATTATCACATTGATTATAATTTCTCCTTGTGTTGCTATAATTTTGATTAATTATTGGTGTTTAGATTTATTTATATTTACTATAGATGTTTTAACTGTTATGAATATACTTATTTTATAAACTACCATGAGTCTGTATTGATTTGGCAGTATTTATGTAGAATTAAAGAAGAAATATTTTTTAATAAATAAGAGGAAGGAACGAAGGAAGGAAGGAAGGAAGGAAGGAAGGAAGGAAGGAAGGAAGGAAATAAATTAGTTCTCTGAAAGGTAAACACAGTCAAAATAAAAAGGAGGATGGTATTTATAATACCTACATTAAAATTCTCTTTAAAAAGTGAAAAGACTCTTTGTTTTGCCTAAGAGAAGCATGGCTGCATGTTAATGCTAATGTTCATTTTATTTATTATGTATTAACTGAGCGTGGGGGCTTTTGGCTATTAATTGAATGCCATCTGGAATTGAGTTTTATTTCCTTTGTTATTTTATGAATTAATATTTGGTACTTGTACAGATTTTATTTTATTGTATAATTAATTAACGTATTAGTAATGCATTTTATTTAACCTGTTTATTTTGATCTCCTGAGATTGCTGCAACCCCCCATGGAAGACCTGGATTTTGAACTTTGATAGATCAGTGAAAAAAATAGCTGGTACGCCTAATTCTCTGAAAAAAGACATATCTATTAATGAAGCATCTGGGGAAGTCTTAGAAAATAAGTGCCAGAGGTTCCTAGTTATTCATTATTTCCCCAAACCTCAAATCCCCCTCAGTTCAGCAGTTCCATCAGCCCCAGACAGGAAACATGATTTTAACAAGGTTAAACCTGGTTATAACCTCGTTTATTATTATTTATTAAACCAATTTATATAGTTTAGTGTCTTTTCCACTCCTTTGGGATTCCCTGCATTGGGCCAGCCCAGAAATGGGGTTCAGCCACTTCAGCTGCCACCAAAGCCGAGTGGCAGGGAAGGCTGGGGACATTTGGAGGGGAAACTTCCCCCCTCCATGAATTCAAGGCTGGGCCTTCCCAAAGAAGAAACCCTGCTCCTTCCTTGCTGGACTACAACTACCGTCCTCCCCAGCGTGGCGCCAGAATGATGGGAACTGAAGTTCAACCCATTCTGGGGGACACCAGGTTGAGGGAGACACCAAGCAGGCCGCCTTTTCCCACACGTTGATCGGTATTTGTTTTTATTGCGGGCTTCTAACGTAACTGGGCTGTGGAGAAGCCGCCGCCTCAGATGGGCCGCCCGCGCGCGCGCCCTTTTCCCGCCTTTTTCCGACCCGACGTTAAGAGAGGGGCGGGAAAGGAA